CTGCAAAGTGTGAGAGTAACCTTTGAATAAGTACAGAATAATCTTTCTTGTACAAAAATCCCAAAATGCCACATAGAAGGTGATAGTTTTTCTCTATAAGTTTTTCTATCTTTATTATTTCATGACTTACTTTGCTCTTGTGAGAATCCAAGAAAACCAGTCCCTAAATTTTAATTTACCTATGTGTTTCTGTAAATTAAGAGTTCTGCATTTTAATTTATTTCTGAAAAATACACTTTACTGTATTTAAAGAATGCTGAAAGGCAGTTGCAAATTCCATCTCTTTTGGCAAACACTCTTGTTAATGAACTATAATATAAATTTTAGTTCATAAGATTCCCAGCAGTTGTCAAACAAGCACACTTTAATCTTCATTCTTGGAAGATTATAAATATCCCGTGTACTTTCAGATCCTTTCCAGTTTAATACACTGTTTCTTTTGAAGGATTTGTTTTTCTGAGTTGAACTTTCAGAACTCAGAACACCGTATCGCAATTGCACAAGACCTTTTGTGGAAATGAAAAAAGAGAGAAAGAAGAAAACCCATCCAATGAGCTTGTCAGGGCTTGTGCCAGTTAAATCCAAAATCTCCAACTATCTTTTGTTTATTGGTTACGGGGTTTTTTGGGGCACCAGATTAGTTCTTCAAATTTAGGCAGTATTTGAAGCTATGAGTGAATCTCTGTTGAGCTTTTAATGAGGCTAATCCCATAACAGGACATTCCAAGTAGCTAATGGGCGCAAGTTCATTGCTTACTTTAACATCTCATGGTCAAAACTGGAATGAAAAACCTGTCTGGTGGGTAGTCATGGGGCATTAGTAGTAGTAGAATGACCAGGCACAGTGAAATTTAGACAGCACAGATAGATCAGAGAGAGCACGAGACAGACTCAATGTGGAACAAAAGGTAAATATTATCATTGTGGTTTTGTTATTGTTGTTGTTAGTCTTAATAACAAAATAATGTTGAAACCATATTCACTCAAATGATACAACGTTTAATATAACACTGTGTTTTATTAATTAAAACTAAAATAATACAAACTAAAATGTACAAAGACTAAATTATAAAAAAAGACTTGGATGTGCAAGGCGGTTTATTTTCATGTCTTCGGTTTTGGTGATTTAAACTACAGTAAATAGCAATGTTTTGCGCGATTTCTCTTTCTTACAATTCGTCTTTTGTACAGTAATAAATCAGTTAAGAGGGCAGAGTATTTTCTTTTACAATTGTATAGAAAAATATTAATAAGTAATAAGCTATTGGCAGTGAATCTGAGGCAAACTAAATAGTAATAAACATTTTAAATCTAGGAAGGTTATTTTACATTGTTGTAAAATGTAAGATATATTTTTCGCACTTTACAATTGAATGTTAAAATATTTTCATTATTTTTTCTGATTGTCATTAATGTTTCATGGAAATTGGAGCACATACAATAATGTAATCATTTTTTTGTTAATGTCATAACTATTGTTCTTTTGACCTGATGTAGTTGAACACTGCCTACCAAACCATTAAATTTATGTCTTCCCTGCTAGATGATGCTTAAAGTAGAAGGCATGATTACATAGATATTGTTTGGTTTAACCAGCTAGCTTTTCTGGTGATTTTATAAAATGTTTTACATTTGATATATTTTTCCATATTCCAAAAAGTGAATTCAAGTTACCTTTTAAGAACACCTGTACATAACAATAATTTTATTCTTTATTTTCAAGACTCTAATCAACCAAAGGTTAACTAAATAAGTAAGCAAATGAAGTTGAATAAAACAAGAATTTAAAGAGTAGCATTAAAAAAGTGAATCATTGAACTGTTTTTTCCTACTCAGTTTCTGATGTCTAGGGAAAGCACCTAAATTTAAGAAATCAATGGTTTTAGTTGTTTATATTGTAATACACAAAGCGATGCAACTTGATTAATCAAGTCATATTTCATCTTTATTAAAATTAGTTTTAAAACAGTTTGCATTATTTAAATATTTGCTAACAATAAAAATGGGCTATTAAATGTTTTGCTTGATCTCTAAATAAATGTTCTACCCAAGGATGAATTTTTTTGCATCCAATTTCATCACAGAGTGTTAAAACAGTAAAAAAAAAATTGGATCCATTTTCTTTACCAGATCAAAGTTAAAATGCACTAAAAGTAGTAGACCCCTGTGTCCAACCTCAAGCTAAAATATAAGAAGTAATGGAAAATATCCAGAACTCTGTAGGCTCAATCGAAGTTGAAAGAAGAAAGGGGCGATTATAAAATCAATGCACATAAATATTTCCAGGTTCAGTATGTGTCCAACATTCTAATTTTACAAAAATCTACCCTGCTTGGAATTGCCTATATTCTTGAACACAACCTTAATAATGCTTAAATCTTTGGTTAGGATCTGAATTATTAAGTTTCCACCAGTCTTACATTGTAAGTCTTACCGTTATATTTATTAAATATATATGCTATCCTACTGTCAATGTTTCCCATATCTATATTCTGTAAGTGGCCTATGACCAAAGTTTATTTTTAAATTAGTTTATATGGACAAATATATTTTATATATGAATAACATTATATATTAATACAGTTTAAATATCAGTAAGTTGTTTTGAACATTGTTAAAACAACTTCCTAAGGCTTAAAAAGTAATAATTTCCATTCATGGCTTGAGTATTAAAATCTAGTCATAATTTCTTCTTTTTCAAATGAGGGCTTTGTATAAACAGAAACTAAAATTATGCATGCCTTTTATTGTTTTTGCATTTCTCATCAGTGTAACAGATGATAACAGTTTCTACTCAGAGTATAGAGCAGTGATGGCGAAACTTTTAGAGACCGAGTGCCCAAACTGCAACCCAAAACCCACTTATGCATTGTTGGGTGCCAGGTGGGTGTGGCCCACTGGGTGGACGTGGCTGTGGTGGTAATGGCAGATTGGGTGGGACTAAAAAGTTCAATCAATTCCAACTTTGCAAGATCTTTTTTTTTCCCGCGAAAAGTTGAAATTGACTGATTGATTGAACCTTTTTTTGGGTACACAGCGGCGGAGGCCTAAAGAGAAAAGGTTTTATAAAACCCAGCTGAAGGACTAGGACTGGGGTGATGGCACGCATGCCCACAGAGAGGGCTCTGAGTGCCGCCTCTGATACCGGTGCCACCACTAGTATAGAGTGAAAATGATTTTATGCCAGATAGGTCTCTCTTTCTCTTTCTGTGTGTGTGTCTGTGTGTGTGTGTGTGTGCGCATGTGTATATGTGTGTTTGGTTTGGTTTGGTTTAGTTTATTGCTCCCTTTCAGGCTTAGTAGATTTGCTGTGCCTCTGTTATATGAACAATCATCTATTATGTCACTTCTTATATCCAATGATTTTAACAATGTAATTAATGAGAAATATATATTTATTATATTTTGATGTTCTTCTATCACATGAGTGATCCTACATAGTCACGGTGATGGAAAAATGAGATAACATGTACTGTGGCATCATGAGCAAAGCCCACACCTTTAACATCCCAGTGATGAATGCGATACATAAATGACATGGTTTGCATTGTAATGTCACAAAGTATTTTAATCACATGTCTGTCTTGCAGACACCTATGTTCCATTAGCATACTGGTCCATCCATACCATCTTTTTCCTGTGAATTCCTCCACTGTTCTTCCAAATCTGCTCTGAAGCTTGTGGAGGGGAAGGAGGGAAATCAGACCTCTGCCTCAGCCAGTGATGGTGAACCTTTTAGACACCGAGTGCTCAAAAACTGTCCCACCCCCACACCGCCCCACCTCTGCTCCATCCCTGCCCTGCTCCCACCCACTTGCAGGGCAACCCGCCACCTCCACGGCCCGCCACAGATCACTCAGGCAGCCCATTAGTGCCATTAGTGCCCTCCACCCGTGTCCCGCAGCATCATCTGTTTGCGACAGGGCACAAGGGCAGAGACTTGTCCCCACTGCCCGGCTGCCATGTCCTTGGCTGCGTTGCTCCAGGGGGGCCGTACCTGGGGGTGGCTCTCCTACAGGGGCTGCAGGTGAGGAGGCCATGGGGGAGGCAGGGCTGGGATGACAGCACCTGTGGCCACAGAGAGGGCTCCAAGTGCCGCCTCTGGCACTCATGCTATAGGTTCGCCACCACTGGCCTAAGCTCTTCTGCCTTTTATTAAAACTGAATATAATGTAGAAAACATCAGATTGAAGTAGATAGATAATGGTGTGTTACATAGTGTGTGGAGTTTCCATTCTACCAACCTTTTTCTTTCTGATCAGCCAAAGTTGATACTGACATTTAATTAACCTTTAATACAGAATGCTTTAAAATTTGTAATAGAAATACGTGCCTACTCTAGATTTATCTTTACAGGTGTGTATATATAATTGTTGTGACTCTGGAGGGAAATTTTTTTTTTTGAACTTTAAGCTCCTGACAATGCTTGCTGAGAATATCTTCCCACCAGAATTCAATCTCCTGCAACTTTATATGCCTACATTTCTGTGTGTTCTTCTTAATTATTTAACATTCTTTGCTGCATCTATGTTCCTTGTTTCCCAAGTGCTTTCCATACGAATTGTGTGATGAATTATATGAATTATACTCCCAGGCTCCAGTCTAAAACTTATATGTCAGAATGTAGAAAATATAAAGGTCCTCTGATGGCCTCGAGTTGTTTTAAAGGGCAAAAATATTCAATATTCCACTATGCACAACAGATTTTTTTTTTAAAAAAAAGATAATTCATAAAAGAAAAATAACACAACATCAAGGCCTATCTTATCAGTTGGAGAATGTTGATTTATCATTTGTTTCCATTAATCATATTTTATAGATTGTGTGGCATTAATATTAATAGAGTGTGCAGCCTATCATCTGGAAGGAATGCACTAGTGTGCATTAGAGCATAACACCAGCCCTGAGCTCTGCTGCTGCAGGGCATCTGTTAAAATACTTCATGGCTCTTTAATATTTAATAACAGCTTTTTTTCAAAATTCATCTTGTTTCTTTTCAGGCTCAGAAGTCATGGATAGAGAGAGCATTTTGCAAAAGGGAATGTGTCCATATAATACCCAGCACCAAAGACCCCCATAGGTAAGAATGCTATATTTAGTTACTTAATTTGCATTGAATATGAAAGTAAGCATGCTGTAATGTATAAAAAGTTAAGGCTTTGAATATGCTACAGGAAAAAAAAATCTTTATTTTAACAATAAACAACTACTTTAAATATACTCTGTACTTAGAACGTACATTGATTCATTTTTTATCTCCTCCAGTACCTCAGGTTAGAGATATGGCAGCTACTTTATGAAAAAGATTTAAAAGAAAGAAGAATGGATCATTTCCAAGATCACCTTTTTGTCATAGGACTGTTCTTTTCCTCTGTATTTCCATGTGTAGCCAATGGCATTCCACATGGCCTTTCAACTTTTGGAGAAGCTTTGGAAGGCAAGTCAGGGAGAAAATATTTTTTTCTGCGGTGATTTCCATTTTACTGGATCCCGCCTTCTACATTTAACTGAGAGTGACTGGCTCAAAAGATGGCTTTTATCACTAAGGCAGGACTTGAACTCACAGTCTTCCAATTTCTAGCCTGGTATTTTAATCCCTAGCCCAAATTAGCTCTCATGGCTGCTTTTTTACAATACTTTATGTAAATAGATAGTAATAGTTGCAAAATACAATCTTTTAATTTGGCTTCTGAATTCTGAGAGAACAACATGGATGATGTATTCTAAATGTATTCACTTGCATCAGAATTAGTCCACAGCTGTGCCAGTCACTGTTATAATCTTATTTTCTCTGTGAAAATAAAGTAAAGCTTAACAAAGTTTTTTGCTTGTTTTTTTCCTATTTTGTGTATGTGCGTTAGAGGAAACAGACTATTATACTATGAAAACTTTTTGCATAAGTACTAAGTTTTGTACAACATTACAACTGGCTTAGTGATCTGTATCTCATTCTATTGATAAAATTATTACTTATTTTATGCAAGACTTCTCGTAACTTTAATCTTTTGCTTTATTACAGTGGTTCTCAACCTGTGGGTCGGGACCCCATTTGGGGTCGAACGACCATTTCATGGGGGTCACCAAACAACGCAGTCCGCCAATTTTTTCCCCTTTTCCTTAGCTGTGCTACTCCCTTTTATTCTATTGACTTTTGAAAGCCAATAGAATAGAGTCTCTTGAATAGAGTCTAATTCTATTGGCTTTCAAAAGCCAATAGGAATTGTCCAGGCTGTCTCTGCCCTGCTGAGCCCGCCAAAAGTCCCATTCTGCAAACGGTGCTGCACCAGTTGAGTAGTCCTCGACTTACGACCGGTTGAGTAGTCCTCGACTTACGACCGGTTGGGGGTCGCGGCATTAAAAACTTGAGAACCACTGCTTTATTATAACAAAATATTAAGTAGTTTTTGCTTAATGTCATAGGTGTTGCTGTGGACGCCTAATAGGTCAACATGTGGGACTTACTCCAAGTATCTCCATTATTCAGAATGAGAAAAACGAAAGCCGTCTCGCTCGAAATGACATCCAGTCAGAGAAGTGGTCAGTCGGCAAGCACACACAACTCAGCCCCACTGATGCCTTTGGAACAATTGAGTTTCAAGGAGGTGGTCACTCAAATAAAGCCATGGTAATTTTAAAAAATTAATGTCCAAATTGATTTCTTACTCTATCTGTTATATGGGGGGGTTATTTTCTAGCAAGAAATATATCTGTCTAGGCTGCCATATAAGGGCCATTATAATTATTTCTTATACTGTATAGAAAAATCTGTATATTACAGAAATCCATTGGTAACTTAGATAGACCTTTGTTCCCAAGGAGTTTATTATCAAAGATTACCATATTCAAACTATGTTCCCTAGAGCTCCATGAGAATCATCCAGGGGTTATATATGACAGTTTATTCTAAGGATCGTTATGATTTCACCAAAATTTTTAAAATCTTCATTCCTTACAAGAGAGTCGTTTGTGAAGAAATATATCTATTAATGTGTTACACATTGATTTTTCACATTGAGAAAGGTTCCTCAGGCATCTCAAGTTTGAAGACCACTGGTCTAAGAAAACCAATGACATTTACATAAACATAAATGTACATATACATAAAACAGAACTGGAAGAAACAAGCAATGGGCAGAAAATCTGTGGGCAAGACATATGACACAACATCCACGTGTTTTGAGGTAAAAAATGTGGGTTTTCTTCTTGGTATTGCCTCAGACAGCTAAAAGTACATATCTGAAACACTGGGAAGCTACTAATATTCACTGCAGACATTATGAACAAAGATGAACCAGTGCTCAACTGTCATACAGACAGCAGTTTTTGGTTTTCAACTGTAAAAATGGAAATTTAGTGATAGTGTAGAATAAGAGTGTATTGAGAATGGTTATAACTAGGAATGAAGATTGTATTTGGTATTTTCGGCAACATTTCTGGGTTTCTGATCTTTACTTTCTGCACTTCAAACATTTTCTATAATTATAAAGCCAAGCCCAAATTCAATTGCTACATTTTACCATGAATGCATTTCTCTCCTTATTAAAAATCTGAGGGTGTTTTATATTATATATAACATTTTGAAATGAACTTTGTCCAGAGATGGAAATTAATGTGATTTTGAAGTCAGTAAAAAATAAAATTTTATTGGCAATAGATTCTTACTAGATTTTGTCAGTTTTGCTAAAAGGAGACGAGATCTCTACAGCACAAAACCATGTAATAAAAACTGTATTTTTTAAAATTGTATTTATTTAATAAAAGGACAAACTTCTTATTGCAGTGCGGTATACTGCATTTATTAAAGAAGAAAGGATTTGTCCTTGTCTAACTACCAAGCAAAATATGAATTACTTTTTCAGACCAATGTAAATTTAAAATAGGATATATGTGATTGGAGAAACTTTCAGGTTACCCTTTCTGAAAAGTTGTAGTTTCATTTATTTTACCAGCTGTATTAGTTTGCTTATTCTACAACATACATATATGAAGACAGAGAAGAGAGAGAAAGATTTATGAATTTACTATTACAATGTAAGAGTGTAGAATAAGTATGGTATAGTGGAGCTGCCCTTGATGACCACACGGAAATTTCAACTTCTCCAGAGTGCAGCAGTGCACATAGTAATGGGGCCCCCTAGGTTTGCCCGTATAACATTTCTGTTGCGCCAGCTGCACTTTCCAGGTACAATTCAAGGTGATGATCATCACTCTGTCTATATGGCACAGGGCCAGGTTATCGTCAGGATTACCTTTCCCTAAAGACATATGTCCTACCAAGTCAGATAGGGTGGGCATGCTCTTAGTGCCTTCCCCTAAATACTGCCATCTGATTGGAGCTAGGAAACATGACTTTTCCATGGCAGCCCCTCCCTTATGAAACACTATGCTCCCCTGAATTTGGCAAGTGTCCACCATAAGGCTTTGAAGACCTGTCTTTTCCTCCAAGTATTGGGAGAAGACTAGATAATCTCATAATAGAACTGATTTGGCACCATGTTTCGTTGTTTTTAATGTTTTAATTGGTTGAACTTTATAGCTTTAATATAATTTTATGTATCTTTTAATTTTTGATTGGGAATTAAAAGATGGACGGCTATATAAATAATCAAGGATGCATTGACCTTGCAATTCCATTTACATAAAATTTAGCAAACATGCTGCTACAGGCATCTGCAGCAAACTGGGATTGTGTAAGAATGATGACATATGCAATGTCATTATAGTGCCAGACTCAGACTTGGGTACTTGCATCCCAACAGTTATGTATATTATAGGCTTGGCACCATAATATATGTTTTGTTGCTTACCTTCTCTTGCCTTTCTTCCATGCCCCAGAAGCACCTGTGCTTTTGGTGTCACACTATGTTCATTGTTCTTAAGGATTAGGGGTGCTACCAAACTTTGTGGGTTTCTTTAGTATGGATATTGCCAGACCAGTTTTTATGCTATGCTACAGATTATATAATTGTAAATGGAAGGCAAATAATGTTCTGGCATATATTTCAACTGTGTAATTTGTTTTATTGTAGAAGCAATGTAAACTAAATGCTAGTCCCAAAAATGTCAAATTCCATTATTTTATATTAAATGAGAGAATCTGAAAGATAATTATGGTGTTTAGTGAATGAGAAATTATTGTTTATTGTTAAATTTGTTGACCTTAAATTCATATCCTTCCCACTTCTCATACCTTTTCCTTCAGCTTAACTTCTAATATAATTTACTATAGCCTCACAGTAAAAATGTAAAAGCTTTCTAAATCCATGTTTGGAGTTGTCTTGATTCAATAAATGGTAGTTAAAAGACCAATACAAACTCAAAATATCATTAAATGGCAACTTCTTAAAGAGATAATAACAATTGGGTTTAGAGGCATGTGCAGATCATTTGAGGGAAGCAGCATCTGAGTATTCATACATACACGCATACACATACACACACATACATACATCAGAAGACTAGAGAGAGCCTCGAAATAGTCACACCAATGTTTAGGGAGGATCCAATAGCTTGTATAGCCTGTTCAAGAGGCAAATTCAGGAAGCTGTTTTGCTTCCGCATGAAATGCTGTGTCAAATAAGTTGCACAGATTTATTGCCTTTGTCCTTACATGAATGGACCTTGGCTTACATAATCCATTTTTTCTTTCTTTGGGATGATTACTGCCATGGAGATAGAGACAGTTTCCCTGTATAAAGGTAGCAGTAATTTTCTTAAAACAACTTGTAACCTATTCTATGTATCTTACAATCTTGGAAAGTTGGTAATTCATTGTATTACTGCTGTTTGGAAATTATCTATTCAAAATGGTAATCAGCATGCTGTGTAAGTTTTAAGACTTTCACAAATGAAGATGCATATACATGTCCCAGGATAATGTTGCAGGATCCAATCTGGGTCGGTCACCAGGAGCAGAGGTTTAGCCTTCTGAGCTTTCGGACTCCTGCTGGACCCCATCTTCAGAGAGCTTCTCTCTGGCAGAGTGTGGGCTGTTCTGTGTGTGGTATTTATGGTGCCTATTGTATGTGGCTTTTCAGAGGTTGATTGGGGTGTGTTGATGGCTGGCTTTTAAGTCATTAGCTGGCATTTGCTTGTGTTGCCCAACCCTCATCTTCTAAGTACTTGATAGGCTGGTGATAAATCAGCACTCCTGTTGATTGACAAGGGCCTGTTTCCCAGGCATCAATCACTTCCCTGGTTATTTTTGTGCCTGCCCATCCAACAATCTTAGTAGCTGCAAAATTGAAAGTGTGTCTTTGTTCATTGCAGTGTGAGGCTACCAAGAAGTTTGGGTCTCCTCGACTGACCACTCACTTGGGTTCTTGCAGTCTGGTGGTTAGCTTCCTCCCTTTTTGCCCTACATCTATGCAGGGGATTCAGTAGATTACATTGGAAGTATCTCCCACCTCCAAGCAATTTTAAGGTTCTCTTGATCTTATGCTATGTAAATATTTAATAGAATATTGCTTGGGTAAAAAAAAACCTGTCTCATTTAATTGCAACACATTTCTTCCCATTACTGGCAAATTATTTTTGCTGATAGGCTTTTCATGCTAAGACAAGGTTTACACTTCACATTTAACTATGAAATAGATAAACTGAAGATGCTGCATTAATGCCCATGTTCCATTGGTAGCTCCTCCAGTGAGTGACTTTCAGTTTGGTACAGTGGTTAAGGTGCTCACTCTGAAAACAGGATATTGAGTTTAGTTCCAGTTTAGCCATGAAAGCCAGCTACATGACCTTGGGTCAGTCACTCTCTCTCAGCCCAACCAACCTCACAGTGTTGTGTTGTGAGGAAAATAGCAAGAAGAAGGAATACTGTGTATATTGGCCACCTTGAGTTATTTATAAAAAATAATAAAGAGGGATAATAAATGCATTCTATGTCAGCATTTGCAAACCACCAGCATTGCTACAGATTAAAATAATTAATTTAGAGTTAAATTAATGAACCACTGGTAAGGACAGATGATGGGAAACTATTTTTTCATAAGCTCATCCAAAGTACCCGGAGTACTGATGTGGCATATTCTTCACAACCATTTTTAATTAAGCATGACATGTAAATGAACCTTGAAATGAAACGAAATCTTCTGGTTCAGTGCTAGCTACCTTACATACACATGTCTGTAACTAGTTGTAAACTGTTATTTTATCTTGTAACTATGGAGAACATACAACAATTTCATGGAATTGTATTACTTTAATACAAAAAAAAACCCATGATAGAATTTCCATTTAGCTAAATGTTGTCATTATTAGATTTTGATCCCAACTTTTTTTTCTTTTTAATATTTGATTAACTCAAGATGATGAACGTACGTAATATCCTTACCTTTTCAAGTTACAGAATCAATATGCTTATTACAACTTAACTTTTTTTTTTCATTTTCAATGAATGCTCCTTGTTCTCTAGTATGTGCGGGTGTCTTTTGACACAAAACCTGATCTTCTTCTACACCTGATGACCAAGGAATGGCAGCTTGAACTACCGAAACTCCTCATCTCAGTACATGGAGGTCTCCAGAATTTTGAACTGCAACCAAAACTCAAACAAGTATTTGGGAAAGGCCTCATTAAAGCTGCTATGACAACTGGAGCATGGATATTTACAGGTGGAGTAAATACAGGTAATAAAAACTGTTAAGGGAAAATCCCTGGAGCAAGTATAGCTCAGAAGGCTTGTCAAAGAAATATATCACTGCACATTCCTTCCCTTCTTTTTTATAAACATTACATTAAACCCGCATTATCATTTGGCATGCAGATCTTTTATGAAAATATAGATAACCAAAATAGAATTCCAAGCAGGAAGTGGAAAAAAATAAAGTCATCTCTTAATGACATGATCATAACCTCCACCCCACCCTTGTTGTTATTCTCATTGGAAGGAAAGGTCCATTAATAATATTTGTCAGGATACTGTTCTGGAGGGGAAAAGACGGTTATATGCCTGCTGCTTGCTTGCCTGCCAATTGCCTGCTGCTTGCTTTGCTGCTTGTTAAAACAGCAGCAAAGACAATAACCATGGACAAAGAGCAAAAAGCCATGACACTGATGATGGTTTAATGCAACTCCAGAGGATGGAAATAATTTATTAAAAGTGACTTCCTAAATTGAAATTAACATCAGTGTATTGAACAGACTACAGAGATATAGAATTGGCAGACAGGCAGGTAAACATTGGACCATGCTACTCCACCCTTTTATGTTTATTTTTATTTCTGACAATTCAACTTCACAGTAATGGATTGGACAGGTAGAACTCAGGGATGAGAAAAAATAATATTTCTGTTATCTGCATGAAGAGTATGCATTTAAAATCTTCATGTGTGCCTCATATTTACAGTACACAGAAATGGAAGGATCTTCATAAGGTATTGTAGCCATCATTCATTTTGTGTCCCTTACATATATGGACACTTTATATTGCAACTCAGTGTAGAAATTAATATGATTATTCTTCCAGTATCCTCTTAGCTTAACTCCAACATCCACCAGTCAAAAATTGTACAACCTAAATTAGCTTGGCTAATGGAAGCCATTCTACTGTATAAATCAAAAAGACAAAAGACCTAATCCTAAATCAGGGACCAAGTCTGTGATCCAAGTGATGCTGAACTCCAGTTGCCATACTGCTGAGGCTGCCGAGGGTTGCAGTCCTAAAACATCAAGATCACCACAAATTCTGTATCCCTACTTGAGATTAGAAAAAAAAGGCAAGAATGCATGTAATGAATTAGCTATGATCGTGAATTCTTTTGTCACTTATCTGCAAGATTAATGCTTCATTTTTTCCTTGTTTTTTCAACAAGGTTAAATCAAAATGTGACTTAAGGCGATGTTAGAGCAAAGTTCTAAGTAAACTTATACTTTTTCTATTTATGTCCAAAGTATTTTTCCATAAAATCTTGAACTATATAGTGGCTGGCTTTCTCATCTTAATTTTAAATCTTAATGCAATTTCTTGATCTATTGTTGATTCATAATGTTTTCATTGTCACATCTCAAAATTTAACTTACAGGCATTTTTATAGCAGATGTTAATGTCATCCTATCATATTCTAGCATTTCTTTTTCAGGAGTTATTCGGCATGTTGGGGATGCACTGAAAGACCATGCTTCAAAATCTAGAGGAAAGATATGCACTATTGGAATAGCTCCCTGGGGAATCGTAGAAAATCAAGAGGACCTGGTTGGCAAGGATGTGAGTCTCTTGTTTATCTATAAAATATGCTTTTGTTAGTATGTTTTAAATATTGAGATTTTTCACAAGTTCTGAACCAGGAATCTACCATGACACCAAGATTAAAACAGAATGCTTTGTACAAGCATATATAGCTCTTCTCAGATGTTTTGATAATTTAAAAAAATGTAATTCCTTATTTAATCATTTAAAGGATGCATTCTTCTATGGATGGACAATTTAGTTCCATCCATTTTTTTTTACTAATTAAGGACAATTCAAATTATTTGGGCATCTAATGTGAACGTTGGCTCATGTATTGCGAATGTTGGCTCATCCTCCTTATCCATAAGTGTAACATTTTTGTTGCAGACTGCATGAGGTTGCCATCCATTTTGCAGTTGGCAAAGCTCCCCAAATTGGCTTTACATTTTTAGGAAGTTGCAGAGCCTTAAGCTATTTATTTCATTCCTTAAAACCTCCCCTAAAGCAGGCTTTGATTTCATCCAGCTTTAGCTTAAGACACATATTTGACCTGTGAACCAAGCCAATAAGACTTTCCTAGTCCTCTGTTCTTTGTGCCACTCACTTATCTCTTAATAACACTGGTATTTTCACTGTTCTTTCTGTAAAAAAATTAGAGTTTCTGGGCACATCTCTTTACTTGTCTGTCATATTAGTATAACTGGTGTCTATGTCCCTGTTGGCATAGGGGTCATATGCCTGGATAAGGAGGCATATTCTGGAGGAAAAAAATTGCTTGGGTTTTTTTTTTTTTTGTCATGGTCTCTTTAAGCTTACAGTTATTACCTTCATGATGAAGAAAATCTATTTTTTCGTTCATATCAACTAAGTCATAATATTTGTAATTCAAGTTTTACTGCATTAAAATAATAATAATAACAACAACAACAACAACAACAACCAAATCAGTCTAAATATATGGCTTTCCGTGCAATGAACCATGACAGCAAAATACATACATGTAGTAGAATACACACCAAAGAAATAAAGACATTCAGTTTTTAAACAATGAAATAAACTTTAACCACCAGGACTAGGATTGGACAATCTTTAATATAATACAAGTTCAAAGCTAGAGATTGAACAAATGCATCTTATTAATCTAGAGTTTTTACGCAAGTATGAGATATTCTTTTCACTGAAATATAACTGGCTTTTTGCTCTACTCCTTGCATACTAAGTCCACAGTTCTTTATACTGTATATGTCAGGGCAGTCTTTTGTGGCAAAACAAAATGCAAGTGGATACATATACTTGTGCATGTGCATAATATCTATTCCATTAAATTTGATATAGTTATAATTTATTACTTCTATTCGCACATTCAAAAATAAACAACATGACATTGATTTGGGCAATATTGAATAAGAGGGTTCTGAACAAATCTATTGTCAAAAGGCACATGCAAATTTGTCTCATTGTTGTTTTATTCTCAAATAAAATATAATTATTCCCATTTTCACAAAAAAGACCTGATCTCTCAGTGTGGGAGCATGTTGGGTAAGCCTGAATATGGTAATTAAAGGGGGAAATAAGAGAACCATAAATGGTGGCAGAGGTAGCCAAATGTCCACTGCTGTGCCTAGAAAAATTGCTGAAGCAAAAGCTACTCTTTCAAGGAAACTTTGCATTAAGAAAAGACACAAGCCCCCTTGTAGCGGATCATAGGATCATTTGAGATTTTGTTTTTTGCTCCTTAATGTATTTTTTTTTTCAGAAGAGAATAGTATTTGTTTCTACTTACCTATTTCAGTAGCCTTTCTTGGGATTCTCACTTCATTTCTATATCAAAGTGATGCTCCAAGCCAGTGTTTCCCAAACTTGACAGTTTTAAGGCATGCGGACTTCAACTCCCAGAATTCCACAGCCAGCGTTGCTGGCTGTGGAATTCTGAGAGTTGAAGTCCGCATGCCTTAAAATTGTTAAGTTTGAGAAACACTGCTCCAAGCCTTCTGTAGTCATGAATTGAGAAGTATCATTTTGTTACTATGATGAGCCTGTTTTTAGACAAAATATAAGATATGCTGTAAGTACAACATCCTGAGTTAAAGTTATTTCATTGTGGCATTATAGATCTTTGACAAACAGTCTTCCCTATATAATGACAAACTTATTTCTTATTTACTGAAAACGTAGATATTGTTAGAGCCCTGGTGGCGCAGTGGTTAGAATGCAGTACTGCAGGCTACTTCTGCTGACTCCTGACTGCCAGCAGTTTGGCAGTTCGAGTCTCACCGGCTCAAGGTTGACTCAGCCTTCCATCCTTCCGAGGTCGGTAAAATGAGGACCCAGATTGTTAGGAGCAAGATGCTGACTCTGTAAACTGCTTAGAGAGGGCTGTAAAGCACTGTGAAGTGGTATATAAGTCTAAGTGCTATTGCTATCATGAACTCCCAGGCTTCATGGAAACCACAACACTGAATGCAGTGTAAATATATGGCCAAATACTGTTTTTGATAGAAATATTGGCTGCAGGTCCTCAATGATGAGAGAAGGGTGTCTGAAAGGCTACATAGCATTTCAGATTTGAAGGATGAAATTTGTTTCTTCATGTGTGCCTCCAACTTCTTAACACCAAACAGATCATACAGTCATAGGAAAAGATGTGGCTGCTTCATGTTAACTTTAATGAGTGGATTTCTTGAAGCAGTGGTGCCTTTCTTTCAGGCTTACATAGAAACCTGAAAAAAAATTTAGGCTACTTTAATGAATAGCAGAGGAGTGTTGCACTCACAAGGTCCAAAGCATTTCCTTCAAATCATTTTTGAATGGCACCCAGTCAAGACACAGACACTTCTCTCTGTGATTAAAGCTGAAATGTACTAATCTGAAAGAGAAAAGGAAGCTTTTTCATTTTGCTTTTCATATTCATACTAACACACCTGCTACAGCATTCATAGTTTCCTTGATAGTTGGAACTGCTGCCTGCAAGTTAGACAGATAAAGGAAATCTGATGCTTTTCCTGGAGTTATCCAACTTCATTTCTCCTGGGGACCTAACAGCTGTGTTCTCCATTTCTCTTGTAATGGAGTTGATATCGTCTGGTTTTTTTTTAATGGGAGAAGGATAATAGCAAATCTATCTTTTCATCCTCTCTGTCAGAAATTGTTTTATTGCCTTTGATTTGCAGCTTTAGAATTCAGTAGCAGTGCACTTTGAACTACCAGTAATCATATTTCTCACATCCCAGCTCACAAGTTGCATAGGCATGCATTACCAAATATTTTGCTAGAGCAGAAATTTTTCAGGGATCCTGAATTTAAAATAATATTAGGCCAGTGCTAAATTGTGAGAGCTAGTTTGATGGAGTACATAAGAGCTGGACAAGAAAGTGGAAGATTGTGAAGGCATAAAAGGCAGCTGAGGTGTTGTTCCAGTCCAACTAACCTCATGGGATTATTGTTGTGGGGAAAATAGGAGGTGGAAGCATTGTGTACACCACTGGACCTATATGAAATAAAGGCAAGATATAAATCTATTATAATATATAGTGAAATCCAAACATGAATTCCATTCTTGGCACTTCGTAATCAACAATGTGTTTTAATGTAAAAATATAAATACTCTATATTTACCATGTGAAAAAGTTCCTTTCAAAGCAAAGCAATGCATCCAACAAAAACCTCTCCTAGATTCAAATAAAGATGATAAGAAAATTTGAGTTAATTATAGTATGTTAGGTGGATTATATATATATTATATATATTATTTGAAATAAGAGAGACCATTTAGTTGCCATTTTTTGGAAGGGCTAGCCTATTTGTATTCATTAAATCGTCTCCCTATTATTCCAATTCCCCATGATTGTCCTGATATGTTTATCTTCCATTCAATCTGTTCTTCTTTCTCAAATTTCTTCTGATTTATAGATTAGATTATTATTAGATTAAAGTTGTTTTTATAATTACTTTGTTTCCCCTGGGTAGTCAGTCACTACTGTTCTTAGAGGGTGGGGCAGGAATTCCCTTCCCTCTCTCTTCGCAGGGGGAAAAATACTTAGGACAGCTTTTGCAGGAAAGATATTTAGAATCTTAAAGAGAAGATCAGATCTCACCCAGTTTCATCTGCGTTGCTTTAAAGGTGCTTAGTAGTAATTTTGACTTTGGCTGTCAGCAGCCATATTGCTATGGCTGGTCTTTCCCCCGCAGGTTTGGAGAGCTGTCCCGGATCAACCAGGAGGGCTGCTGCCCTCCTGTGATCAAGCAGGGATCCTCTCCTCGCTCATTGCCCCTACAGGGCGACTTTCGACCCTTTCCAGGTCCCCCAGTGGGATGAAATCGGATGCTGAAGACGGAGTTCGCCTCCATGCATCCGGAGGCACCAATGGCAAACCGGAAGTCTAAAGATAGGAATTGTTTCTGAAGCTCTTCAAGACATAATAATCTTACAAAGAAATTGATTTTGGTTGGATATGATAGAAAAACCCAATCTTAATGGTAATTACTATTCAACAATGAAACCAACTGCTTCAGTAGGCTGCAAATTCTCCTTTGCTCCTTTAATAAGCTGCAGGATATGCTATACAAATGGATTCCTGCACTACAGGGAGAGTTGAACTAGATGACCTCCAAGTTCTATTCCAATCTGTACATTCTACGATACTATAATTTTAGATTAATTCATCCCACGTAGTAGAAAACATCTTTTATCTATTATTTTAACTTGAAAAAAGCAATGGATTATATGAGTATCTGAGGGCTCTAAAGAAAGAAGCAAAATAAAATCTTTATCAAAACCCCATATGTAGCAGACAGGATTTGAATTGTTTAGTAATGTACTTATCAAGCCACAAAATGTAATATTCTGTCTTTGCCCTTGTTTCCTTTGTGTGTCAGCAAAGCCTGCATTGTTATTGGTAGCAGAATAAGTGGTGGTAGTAGTGAATTAATAACTGAAATTATTTTTATATTATCATAATCAAGAATCTGCTTTACTATAAAAAGCTTTAAAGATGTTTAATGTTTAGCTAGGTGTACATTGCTGTTTTGTGGCTGTTGGGTTACAACTACCACAGATTGATAGATCTGTAGGTATGTTATTTGCAGTGCTTTTTAAAAAAAAAAAGTGCTGGAACTCACACACATCATACAACCTGCCTTGCCTACCCTACAGGTTCCATTCAAAAAAGATGCTGGAACTCCGTTCTGGGCATTCTATGAGAAAAAAAGCCCTGGTAATCCAATCCTGCATTATGGACAGTATATTCTTCATTGTAGTGGAGGTCCTGTGATATTTCAAATGAATAATTTTGGAAGATATTATGTGCTCATAGATAAGTTACAAGATAATGCAATCAGATCACATATCTGTTTAATTCAATATTCTGCTTTTATTTATTTATTTGGGAAATTTAGATAGCCACCCATCTCACATATGTAACACTATGCAGTGAACAAAATTTAGAAAGAACACTACTTCAAATAATAAAAAACATAACAATAAAAACATTAAAACAATAAAGCCATTAAAACCATAAAACCTAATTTGCAGAACAGAGCAGTCAGTTTTCCTAACAGCTGCCATACCTACACTAATGGATCCCCAGGCCAGATATTTTCTAAGAACTGAAGATTATTGATATAGGAGGCAATGTGTCATGTAGATATATATACTATATAAGAAATAAACTTGATTGTTTTAGTCCCTAAATTTTTTAGCAATAACTTTTTATTTTTTTCAGAAAGTTAAAATACAAACCCCCCCAAAAAAGAAAAAGAAATTTTACAAAAACAAAACAAAATTAGACAAACACATAAAAATGTGCATTAAAAAGAAAAAACCAAAAACATATATACATATATTGCCTCCCCAGTTCAATATTAATGAAAATATTGAAACAATGATAGCTTCTTCCCCTTGCGAATTAGGCCCCAAATTTATAAACTTCTATATCTATTTGCAACCAATTTGACTTGTTATACATTTATCTATCATATTTATATAAAAAAGTAGTTAACAGTAAAACCAACTGCAAAGTTGATTATTTTAGTCCCTAAATTTTTGAAAAGGAATAAGTAACTTGTTGCCCTACATCTGTAGGGTGTTATTGGATTGCAATTCTCACAAATCATTATTATTGACTATGATTGTTGGAACTGATCAGAGTTAGTCCAAAACATCTGGTCACGGCTACTTATGGTCTATTTATTTATTTGAGTGGGTGTTTTTATTGTTTTCATGTTTTTCATTGTTTTATCATTTTAGAATTGTAAGCCACCCATTCTCTTGGTTGAGTTGAGTGGCTATGGAAATTGAATAAATAGCATCTATAAGCCACAACATATATCATGAGGTAATTGCACAAATGGTACTCTTATATAATGACATAGTAATGACTGGTAAACATGCTGTACATAATGTCATCAAATAGGCCCTATTCCCCCGCCCATTTTATATTATTTTAAACGGTGAAAAACAGATAATATTACTGGAATTCTACTTCAGTTTCCATAATTATAACTTGAATAAATCCAACTTGTGAATATTTATACAGAATCAAAGTTCACACTGGTTGGTTGGGTTTGTTTTTAAATAAGATTTAAAAAGAGCTATGCCACTTTTCTACTATTATATCTGGAAAATAATTTATTATTGATTTTCTGAGTAGGAGAATCTCCAACAGTACTTGAATTTTAGAAATGCTTGAAAATTGATTTCAGCAGCTTGGTCTTTGCTTGTTATATCAATACTAGACTTTATCGGGATTTCCACGCTACTACAACAATCTATGATTATATTCTCTTTTTTTTCCACATATGCAGGTAGTCCGACCGTATCAAACAATGTCCAATCCAATGAGTAAGCTGACAGTACTCAACAGTATGCATTCTCATTTTATTCTGGCTGATAATGGAACCACAGGAAAATATGGTGCAGAGGTTAAACTTCGCAGACAGTTGGAAAAGCACATCTCTCTTCAGAAGATAAATACAAGTGAGCAGTTCACTTTCTACTTTTTCTTACAATAATAGTATCAAGTAGTGATAGTAAAATAGCAATAGTAAAAAGACTGTTATTTGAAACTGTTTAATATATCTCTTCTAGTAATGATGGATCAGTTTTATGTACACATATACTGTACATCCATATCTTTATTATCATCATTAACCAGAATTGAACATGGTATAATAGAGTTGAATATAATTGATACAAATACTAGAATGCCAAAAGTGTTGATACCTGGAGAAAATGGACTGAATTATGAAAAATGCTCTGTGAATGAAATACGATAATTCCTAAATTACTAACATTAAAATGCTAAATACATGGAATACTTAAAAATTAAAATTATTAACATAATCCATGAAAAAGAAAAGTAAAGATATAAAAGAGATACAGGTGGTCTTCAACTTACAACCATTCATTTAATGATGGTTCAAAGTTCCAATAGCACTGAAAAAGTGACTTATAACCGTTTTTCACACTTACGACCGTTGCAGCTTCTCCATGGTTACATGATCAAAATTTGGACTCTTGGCAACTGGCTCATATTTATGACGGTCGTAGTGTCCCAGGATCACATGATCACCTTTTGAGACTTTCTGGCAAGCAAATCCAACGGGGAAGACAGACTTATTTAACATTTAATATTCATAATTTAAGAACTGCCATGATTCACTTAACAGCTGTGGCAAGAAAAGTTGTACAATGGGGCAAAACTCGCTTAACAACTATTTTGCTTAATAACAGAAATATTGGGCTCAATTGTGGTCGTATACAGATACAGGAATATCTGTATTCCATTGTAAAACAAAATAAAATAATATTGCTTAAAGTTTAAATAGAATTGCTTGCTTATACCGTTTGCTGCAATTCTGGATCAGAAAACATGAGAAGGGAGAAAGGAAGGGAATGAGGAAGTGGAAGAAACTAGGCTAGGAAATGTGGAACTATATTAACTGTAACTAGATATAAATTATGGCCAAGCACTCCAGTTTACTTCAGATCCCATGGAAAATTAGTTTCTCATTTACCACATAACATATGTAGGGTGAATTGTCAGTATTATGCACCTATAATGAATTGCTTGTGTATATGTTTATACCATTTCTAGCCTTGGTAAAGAATTTTATTAGGATGAGTTCACAAATGTCACATATGCACACATTAGAAAGCAATCTCACAAATGAAGGTTCAAATCATAATCCAAGAACCAGGTAAAGAAGTTATGGTCTGAGTGAATACCAGAAAGGAACAGAAAGAACACTAAAAGGATGTCAAATCTAGAATTATCTCAAAATGAAAATCTGGCTAGCAAGGTTGGAAAAAATAAATCTGATAAACAAGATGATTTTTCATTCATTCTTGGTTTATCTGTTTTCTAACTTCAGCTACTTTTGCTACACTAAAGGTTATTTCCAAAATGTTAACATGTTGAAGTCTAATGAAAATCCTTTGCAGCAAGAACATTCTTGATTTAGTTTAGATAATGGGATGGAAAACCTATGACCCTCTAGAAATCTGCTCCAGGGAAACTTCTGGCACTCCTAGACAGCATCCTCATTGTTGAAGGATGATGGGTTAAACTTCAGCAATAGATAGTTTCCTACCTATGTTACAAGAAAAAGTACAAGCTGTCATCTATATTGTTACTGCATAATTATTTAAAATACCTTGGAAAATTAATAAAATTATATTATTTGTACTTGGTTAAGGCACAGCCCTTTTCATTTAGCCCAGATCTCACCGAATAAAAAAAAACCCATTGGATCAATCTAAAATGTTTTGTTCCCATTGATTAAATAAAAGAAAATCATCAATTAAATGAAAAAATGACAACAAAATCTGTATACATAGGAGAGCTTAAGTAATTATAGGATCCTTTTCTAGTTAGAATGATAACTTGCTTCATGATGTCACTTAACAAGCTCCACCCTTCCACACTTATGTCATGATGTCACATTGCAAATTCAGAGAGGTTGGAATTTGCACTGTGATATTAGACCCCTGTGTAAGCAGTTCTAGAGTAGAACCTCATCGTAGTCAGTAGTGAAAAGTAAATGTGTTATGTTATGAGTATACACTATAAAATCTAATTAAACAAATTTACTATATGACTATAAATTGGGAAAGGAAAACAAAATAAATATTTGTATTATCTGGTATACATCATTTAGTCATGCTAGATTTCAATAACATTTCATCCTCTTTACACTGCAGGAGACTATGTGGATGCTATGAGCATATGATTGTCACTAAGAGAATTTAGAATGGGAAAGGACATTCAGTAGGTATCTTGGCTGCAGTTCTGGAGTCACAGCTGAGAAATGGGATGAACAGGGCTGAGATAGCACTTTCACAAAAACATTTTATCCTCAAAAAGAAGGAACATTATTTCCTAATGATGTTTCTGTGGTCACTCAGAGTTGATGTTGACTTGACAGCACATAATCAGTCAAAAATATTTCCAGATGAAAAATAATTGTGTGAAACAGTTGTATTGTTGCTCCCTCCCCCTGCCCCCTTTTAATCATTTTGAAAACAGTGGCAAATTGTTTTCATTAATTACACAAATGTTTCTGTAATTCTGTGTCTGATAAAATATTCTATTAGTCTCTCAGAACAGGATTTTTTAAAAAGAAGTAGCTATTCTTTCTTAGTTCCGCTCACCTGGGGCCATGTAGTAGTGATGGTAGAGGTCCTTTCCTTAGTTGCTTTCGTTGTTTCTGTGTTCTTTTCAGATCTCTGATGAATATTATCCTAGAAATCCTCTCTATAGAAAGCCAGTTAATCCTTAAATATCTAGGCTGCCATCATGCTTTATGTGGCCAAACATTATGTAGAATGTCATTACTATATTAGATAAATATTCAGAATCAGATGACAACCAATAAGGACAGTTGGTTTTAATGTTCTTACCTACATTAATGTTTCTTGGAAATTATATAATCCACTGAGAAGAATTGAGTCAGCAAATATATTCAGTCAGACAAAATGATGACTAGTTTCTACTAACATGGTGATTTTAATCTAAAGAGGATCTTGATAGAGGGGGAGGCAGATATGTGCATTTCATTATCTCTGTAGACCAGAATCAACAACTATAGCCCTTTTATGACCTGTGGACTTCAACTTCCAGAATTCCTGAGCCAGGATACGAACTGAAGTCCACAAGTCATAAAAGAGCCCTAGTTGCCCACACCTGCTGTATACAGTCCGATGAGTGTTTTGATATGAAACTTTGGGATGATGTTCAGCTTGGAGGCCCCAATGCCAAGAGTTAATATGACACTAGATTGCAGCTGTTCTGTTTAGGATTGTTGGAAATGAATCCATTTATTTCTGCTGCTGAAGCATGACACTATTGATGCTTCATTCTGGTCTTTTGGCTGTGAAAAGGGTTCACTGACTTGCATTCTTGTTCTTACACTTTTGAAATATATTAATATTCTTTGTATCAAGTGTATTTTCCATTTCACCTTGATATCCTCAATTTCATAGCCTAATACATGCATTATCAATTAATCTGCAGTGAGAACTATATACAACCTATTTTCCATAACTTGCTTTTTAAAGGTAGAAGCTGAGTGTTGTCACTGTTTTTAATATATTTTTACCAACCTTCCCCAACTTATTACTTAATTTAATTTTTATATAGGAACATTTTTATATTCTTTTTTCCCTATTACTTTTCTTTATGCTCAATATTTGCAATATTTAACTGCAAAACATATTTGTTAAAAACAGTGCAGGACCTCCAAAGCAGATAAGTTAACAGTATGAGTTTCTTATTTTCTTGGTTTTGATTAATTTCTACTACATTGTACAGTTGTAGTATCTATCACAGGTATAGTATATCCTATTCTACTGAAGATTTTTTTGTAAATATACTTGGGTCTATTAAAATGATATTGTACACTCACATGTATTGTTGCACTTTGCAGACTACCATGGAGTCCCAACATTTTACACATAAATGATAATATAATTAATAAATACTATTATTTATTAACTTCATTTACATGTTAATAATAACTTTATTCACTAATATTTATATATTTTATTAGATAATGAAGTTATTATTTGCTATTATCCGAGAAGAAAGGTAATTGATTCTCTCAAACCTGCAAATATAATTACAGAAAATAGGCCACATAAAATATGTACAAATTTTACATTAGCCTGTGGTCATGCTACATTTTCCTTTCTAAAGAAACATAACCAATTATTTAAATCCTCATTATGTAAAAGCCTCTCGTTCTGCCTAAAAAAAAATTCTTTATAATGATCAAGATGTTGTTTTAAAAATCTGCTCTGTTCATGTAGAACCAATTTGGCAATTCAGTGTCAGCATCTATTCAATAATTTCTAAGACCTATATACCATTTACAGAAAATTCTCTAATAGCAAGGTTATAACTCAGTACCAATATTGATGCAGTATCATTATTTGATTCACTGTGTAATAGCTGAGATATTCCACCCTCTAGCAACTGTTTTCATTGCACAATTGCTCTTACAAATGAGCTATTCGTTATGTAATAATTTATAATAGATTCAACTGTTATATATTATTTATATTTTGATTTCTTTTCTACCAAAAAATCAGAATTACATGAAACAAAAAAATGAGGAGATATGTATATGAATCTTGAACTTCTAGGAATATTCATACTGTGTGTATTAATTCTAGTATTCTAGTATTGAACACTAATAATCACAAATAAAAAGCCAACCTCTACATAAACCCTGCAGTTTTATTTTATGACCACTGTTCTTTGTTCTCAGGAGAAAGTAGCTAATATGTTTCTCCTTCGAGCTGCTAGAACACAGTAAGCCTACTGAGAAAATAGAGAAATAATTATACTTTTAAAATGTGTGGCCTTCATATGTTTGTACTATAAAGGAAAAAAAGAGAACAGGGTAACCTTGAGAAGGCATTTGTAACAATTGAACTGCTGTAGTAGTTGTGTTTGAGTATTGTAATGTTAAACC